TGTGCGGTGATTAGTATCGGATGTAGCTAGACTCCAGTAAGGACATGCTCTAAAGCCGAAATAAGTTTGGGTCTTGAGTTGGTGTTCGCGGGGTCGTCTTTGAATTGAGGGAACAAATGCATCTTTTTTTCTACGTATACTCACATTGCACACGAATCTGGTTTTAACGGGAGACTCAACTGAATACAGCCGAATCTCCTCGTTGTCTGAATGAATCTGTGTTGTTTGTGCTCCAACCTTAACATGAATCTCAATGAAACACTCTGAAGGATTGTTCGTTAACAGAACTTTCCTCAAAAATTCCTCATCCTGCTCTAGTTGATTCGGGCTCTATAGTCTCCTCGCTGTGTAGAATGAAGTTTCCACCAGCCCGCGCCTATAAGTCATAGCTAAAGAACCGTAACTACTGACCGTTTCATGTGTTGTTGCGGTGAACAGAACGTTGAGGGACTCATCGGTACCTTGTCTGTATAAAACCAACATCAATTCGATTCACACTCTCATGTAACACAGAAGTTGGAGTGGGTAGAATTAGAAGTGTCAAGAAGGGACTGAAAGTAACAAAAATGTGACCAACAAACTGCTTATAAAACAAACATTTTGAAATATCATCACCTGTCTTCTGTTTAGTTATCCACATGAGAACATCCTCCAACGTTGGGCCCAAGGGTCTGTCCACAGCAACACAACTGATAGGTTTACACTGCCCCCCCTCCGAATCCGAATCTAATATTGTCCAGATCAAAACAAGGTTTTTAGTGAAACCAATAGTCTGGTAGGAGGAACAATAAAATTCCATAAGAAGTCAACTGCTTTGTGGATGGAAACACTGGTGGATAAAGAATCAACATCAATTTATGTAACTTGTATGTTTTACGTCCGCAAAAGAAGATAGTAAAAGAGAGAATGACATATCGTAGAATATCTCTTCTATCAGTCGCAGTACACTAATCTAAACAGAAAACTATACTCTAAATTAATCTTAGTGGTCGGCAGTCACGTGAGCAGACAACGGAATTTTTGTTTAACTTTAGTGATGCCAACATTCCAAAAAAAGTATATTGATAAAATTGACATTTTCCGAGATGTAATTCGGCAGGAAAGATCTAACCCATATCGTATTAGCCTACTTTCAGAATCGCTTGTAAATGTCCTTCAGGGTTGGCGTCAGGACTTTTCTAAAGGAATCGACCTAAGGTACACTTTGACATAAATCGAGTGAATTTAGTGAACCACGAAAAGAGTGTTCTTTGTGGGTAGTGTGAGATGTGGAAATTTTTGTAGAGACTTCATCCTGTAAGTGAAGCCAATCTACGCTGAAAAGCCGAGAAGCACTGGGAATCATCCTACTACCAGCAATCTAGAAGTAGTTCAGTGGAAGAATAAGCTTTATCTAATGAGTGAGATTTCCACCTGAGAACTAGTTGCTTGAGGAACCAGTCAACACGCGTGACCGCTTGATGTGAATCCCGCGACCGAAGGACGAGCGGCACTATATTCTGTCTAAGTGCGAGTTAATGACACTACTGATCAGCTGCTCGTGGCAGAATGGTCAAGTGTTCAAACTACTAACCTGGCGGTCGCGGGTTCGAGATTCTCCGGAGTTTCGCGAGATGCGCACTGCTGATGATTCCCAATGAGTATGAAAAAGCTGTACAGTGCTTCTCCGATTTTCAGCATCGATTGGCCTCACTTACAGAATGAACTCTCCTTAAAAAGAGTATTATTTCGTTGCAGTGAGCAAAGAAATTAGTAGTGTTCATTTTCCAAAGGCGTTCGTTTGATTCAGTTGAAACGCAAGTATGTTTACTTCTGGATGAACTCGAGATGAAAAAAGACTGGACAAGTGTGTGAAGGCGAAACTGCAATATGTAATACTAGGATGACCAAGTTTGCGATTTGTTGAAAACGTGACATTTCGATCAAGCTTACATCTGTACACAAAATGGCATGCTGAGGACCGCGGTTGCACATATAAAGCTACCCTGAACTGTATAGTATAATAGGCTGCACAACTTAGCCTTCAAGCAGAATAAGAGTACTGCGCCTACCTGAGAAATCCCAAAGCGCGTGAAACCGGCTGTGGGCTCCCGGATAGTCTTCAGCAACCTTATGAATAGCAAGTTCCACCAGGAAACGTAGGCCACTTTGAGTTTTGCAAGTAAATAGGACTGACCATTGGGAGAAAAACCTTTAAAAACTTTATCGTAGAGAAATCAACCATGGATGCGTTTGAAGAGGAAGAGGAAGAGGTTCGTGAAGTTGCTAGCCTGGAAAAGGCGTTTCGAAACCTGACTCGACGGCTTTTCAATTTGTGTACGTGCTATACGATATGACTTAGCTTGGACGGTCACTCGCGGACTACGTCATGCTAACGTCGAGCTTTGTCCAGCGATATCCACCTATTTATAGGTGTTTGCAAAGTGAGTATATACACGGAACTCAGCACACGGTACTCACACTTTCTTCCGGCATGTACTCATTGTACTAAGTATACCATGATAAGTGTTTTCCTTTAACCTAATCCTGTTGCATAGTAATTCATGGAGGAATTATGGTGGGGAGTGGTTGGTAATTCCCCCATTCATTTACTTACTTCGCCAATGTACTTTTGACCTCCAGTTGTTTTGCTCATTCCCACTCGCCACTCATCTTGCCGCAGAGGCTGTCCTTTCCGACACTTGTGTATTGACACGTGTGTCTGTGCGCTGCTGACCTTCTTACCCATGTGCTCTCATGTCCCGTTTGCTGAGCCTGCCTTGACTTGTTTTCTCATGGGTTCCTGTGATCACACGTCCAATGAGAATCACGAGACCGTCATCAGAAGGTCCGATCGCAACCCAGGCTACTGAGTCATCATCCCGCTCACCGTTGTTTGGTGTGCCAACGTTGACACTGCACTGTGCCGGTCAGTGACAGACCTATGAACTTGCTGACGTTACGAACGTGAACAACTGAGGTTTGTTGTACACATTTGCTTACCCTTGTGTAAATAGTACCGTAGAATTACGAACCCAATTCTTCCTTTTGATATTCGGGGTTGTCAAACCTACGCGTCACTCAAAGTTCCGTATCGCGAACCTCAGCAGCGACATTAGGTGAAGTGGATTCCTCTTAATTCCCTTGCGTAAAATCCTTCCACTGTTCCGATGGAATGTTGATGGCATTCACGTCTGTCCTGTTCGGTATCCTAACCGATGGAAGGATCTACCAGTGGCGTAGAATGACGAATGGGATCGATTTTATCGCTCTGACAAAGCATCCGAATTCACTGATCTAGCGCTGCAGGTGAAAGGGTTAAGCTGTGAAAATAATGTTAGCACTGCGAGAAACAAGCTTGAGTGAGTATAGCACGAAAGCAAGATAGAGATAAACTAAGGATGATACAGATGGAAATATTCTTTAATTAAAATTTCAGTTGCCCCCACTTCGTATTTAGAATTGTCTCTGATACTGAAACGATCTCCGCATTTGGAACTACACTTGCGAAATGCCTATCAAAGCAGCTGGTTTAAGCCTCCTCTATGTTTTCTAGTTCATTTCCTACGCACTGTCGAAAACAACGCGAGAAATGCAGTATAGTTTGTGGACTAGATTGGAGACGCAGGTGATCTGTTGAGTAGGAGATTTCGACCTTACTCATGAGAAATTCTTCTTTTATGGTATGAGGCCGAGTTAGATTTTCTTTGACAAAAGTTCGGGGCCGAAACTCCGAAATTCAGCATAGGCAGCGCAGATGTCCCCAGCAGCCTTAGAACGGTGACCATCGGATAAACTGACTTGGCTCTAAACAGGAGGCTGTTATCTAGCTGTGGTTTGTCTGACGATCGAAACAAAGGAAAGTCCTGCAAATGTCCTGTTTCAAAGACCTAAGTTCAGCAGGCTGAACTTTTAATCGTTCCTACTTGAGCCCGGGGATTAATGAACGTTCCTGACAGTTTAGTTTGCAACGATGCTATAATTGACGTTCTGTAGCCCGCACCACAGAGATAAAATTATCTGATAGCTTCAGTCCATCCCCGAGAACAGCCTCATGATCTCAGCTCCTAATTATCCAGACTAAATTATATGTTACTGGCCATTGGTTCCATTGTTTTATAACTGCTCCCCTTTTGGCAAAGTTCGGTTGATGAATTTCGGGCTATAGGAAATCTGACTGCTTCCAGCGAAGCTTAAGCATGGGTATCCATTAGCATAGTTCAATGTCATCGGTAGGTCCAGAAGTGGCTCACCTATATTTTTAGCTCGGACCATTGTTTCTGCTAGGCAAAAAGTAATTGTGCCCCTACCCAACCCACATGAGCTCCCGAACAATGCAGACGTGTCAGAGTAGAACGCCGTTGGCTCGTCATCCACGCTAGAACAACAGGACTTACAACTGAATTTAAAGTTCTTAATTTGACGGAACACCTTTGCTTTTAGCTCTCCTAAAGCCTGGCACATCTTCTTTAGTCGAGGTTCCAGCCAGAAAGTACAATAAATCTATGCTGAAAGCCTGAGAACCACTGAATAGCTGTTCCAAGCTCGCTGAAGAACATCAGCATTGTACATCTCAAACCATTATTCGGTTGCTAAGATGACGTTTTTCGAGGCTTTTGAAAAGGCATAGTAATTTTATCTGTTTGAGCTCACGAAACTGATGTTTGTAGCCCTAGCTTGACGTATCGAATGAAGTCGGGACCTGGGCACTTTCGCCCGAATTTACGGCTGTGCGCAAGAAATAGGCAAAAAGTTCAAGGAGCTACCATATTTCCCATGTTGTTGAATTAGATAGTTCAGTTCAATGGCATTTGTATGACACGGGACCGGTACTCTCACTATCGTCCTGTGACTATCCAGTGACCCACGTTTGGATGCGTTGTGAATCGCATTTCTCGTCCATAGAAAGAACCGGTCTCTTTGCCTACTCATATAATTATCAGTAACATGAAATATGGTAACAAACGCTTTTGCGTTGGCCGTCAACGACCTGTTAGAAACCCGTTCGGCTGGGTGATTACAAGTCACTCTGAAATGAACAAAAATAACTAGCCATAAAGAGTTCATCAATAACTTCACGGAATTCATGGCGTTGCGTGGCTTATATATCAAGGTATCACACAAAATTGTCCACATCGATCTCCTGAAAATGGTTGAAATGATGGAAACTTAGGGAGTACGCCTACCTGACAGGTCCTACGAAGTGCATAACTGGTGTCGGGCTGTCGAAGGATTTTTAGCAGCTTCATATGTATTTTTGTGTCAAGGGGGCGAACAATAATTTTTTTACAATGCAATTTTGATTTTCCATGCGCAAGTATTCAGTTTTGCATATATATAGGTGAATTCTGTCTTTTGTGCTTTTTAACTTGGATTAACCCATCGTCGCTTTTCGTGCACACAAGGCCTCATGCTTTATTGTAACTTTGCCCATTCAAAGAGTGGGTACTTTTTGTGTGCACCAATGAAGCCTGAAATGGTCTTGCCTGTCAGACGAATACGGTGCAAGTGGCCGCTACGACCGACGGTGCATACTACTGATGAACATTGGTAAAATCGTATTCCAATTTTTGTGCTTTACTGCCCTTAATTCTGTTTCACCGTCATCACTGTTATCAAAACAAGTCAATGTTGGACAGTAGTTCTTCACTTTTATGGAGCCATAATTCGTCTATGGGCCTTATTGTGTAAAGTAACGAGGAGAGGTCTAATACTGGTTTAAGTATATGTAAACACCTATTCATTCAAATTACTTGCTTTGAGCGCAGGCATTCACGGGCTTGCTCTGCCGTTTGATGTGCATATCGATAATGTGGAGATAACCCTAAGAAGATAGGGTCTGTCAAAGTGGATTGGAGGTTGAGTGAATGTCTGTCAGCTGTTCTAAACCTCAAATGATGTTCGGCTCATTTCCTATGAATTAATAGGACCCACGTGACTAAAACGTGATTCAAAGCTTCCAGGCTCACATGGTCCCTCATGATAGCTATCGAAATTAGGTAGTTTGATGTGCAAGACGAAAACTGAGCCGTTTAGGCAGTTAGATTGGTGTCCGTATGAAAAATATTGCCTGTTGATTCGGGTCATTAATACAGTTTGACCCACTCATTGGGAACCTTCACTCTTGGGCATGAAAACTTTTCCAGTGCATCATTCCCCCCAAATGGACCGAAAATTGATGTTTTTCGCCTTGCTACTTCAAAAAATGGACCAGCGGAAAATTGGCGCGCCATTTGGCATGGTAACTGATCCGTTGTTAGCTATATTGAGCTGGAATGTCCAAATCCATGTCTAGCTCTTCTGGTTCTTTTCGGTGTGAATTTGTGTACTACTTAATGAGCTATACCTAGTAGTGGTCCCATGACCCATATGTAATAGAGCGAATCACGAAAGGCATCAAGGAACAGATACTCCAAATTGCCTTGAGCTCCTTCAGCTGACAGAAGCTTAAATCTTAGACTGATAACCCTTCGATGATCAGCTAGTGAGGGAAAGATTTTCCTCTCTGTCAAAGGTGGACTGAGCTTCGTCAGGCTGATGTCATGAGACACTGTTAAACTACAGCGAAGCCGGTAAAGACTATCAGTCAAAAGACTACGAAGCCGAAGAACTCTTCCTCAGTACATAAACATAGGTCGCATGCATTTGTTACACCCATCTTCCTTCGAACTGTGGAATCCTAGAATCGATTATTCTGAATAAGACGCTTCGGGAAATCAGGCAAGCCGAATCCATGTTACAAAATATGGCAACGGAAGGATGTTTGACAATGTTGCGGTCCTAACGGTGATCTCAGTTTGAGACCATTATTCAAGCAGTCCTTACCTTTAAGACAAATATAAACAGATTAATTATTCTAGTAATTCGGGTGTGAATAAGCACAGGAATGCCTGAGGGGCCAGACAACGGACCGATCTGTCAACATTGGTCTGTCAAGTAGTTCAACTGCTTTGTCACGCAGAATTTAGTTTGGGTGATCATGGAGCTAAGGGTAAAAACTTAAACGATTTAATAGAAGATGAAGCACCGAGTGACAAGTAAAAGCAGTCTGGTTTGAACCTTCTTGGAAGTGTAGTACGGCACCTGTTTCAATTAATGAACTTAGGTGAGTGAACCGCACATTCAGGCTCAATACTCAATGCTCACTCTACAAGAATTACATTTTACGTGGGATCACTTGAAACCAGAATAATATCTAATAATAATAAATCACATGAAACTAGGGATTTTGTGGCGAAATATCGATTGTGTCTCTGAAGGGATTACTTCGACCAGGTCTCGTGGATATTTTCCATTGAGAGAGATCATCCACCTCAGTGTGTCCATACTTTGCAATTTGTCCCTAAAAGTATGTGCCGTTATGATGCACGTTCAGTGGGATACTTTGGTCCGTTGTTGATAGCCGAATATTACTTGATTTGAACGCGTCCATCTTATCACCAAGCCCTCCAAAATGAAAACTTTCCACTCAAGGAACAAGAACCTGAGATTCGTGACGTATGTGATGAACACTGGGTCAGTGATTCTGACAACCTCAGTGGAACTTAAAACCTTTCGGAGTATCGGTTTACAGTTGGGGAATTAGAGTGGAGGCCCTCAAGACAGTTATTGTGACTATCTGAACGAAACGCTTGCAAACCTATTTGCTATTTGTTGCACGGGCTACGCAGACTAGTTCCGTTGGCCCAACTGTTAGGAGAGGTCAACATCAGGTTAAACGAAGCTCAAAACCACAATAATCAAGGCTTAGATCCTTAAGGAACTGAGATTTTCACTGTTCTCAGCACGCCTACAAAAACTGCGTCTCTCGCATCTGCCACTTGGTCGAACTGCAATCTGCCTACCTCCTTAGCTTGCTTTGCTGTTCGAGTTGGAAAGTACCCGTACACCACAGGTAACACAAAGTGTTCCTTGAAAATTGAGCATTTAGTGTGATTTTTCAGGTAGGTAGGTGTGTAATGGCACTAAGAACCCAACTGCTGTGGATAATCTCACTGTTACTGACGTCCTTCACAGTGACCCACAGACACATGGACATATCCAAATATCGTACGACTAGACTGCAGGATTATTCGAAGCAGCGATCAAAGTTGCTCACTCCTTCAGTTCTGTTAGGCAGAACGAAAGCCGATCATCATTATCGTCGACAGCATGACATCAGTGTTCAACACCGATGCTTCACTGCCGTACAACCATGATTTATTTGAAAGCCTTATTGTAAAGAAAAGAGTAAAGGTGGACAGGGAAGGGACTTAGTGCTAGCTTACCACAATCATTCCGAGGTGTCTATACCTCCAGACATTCACCCAGGCGATCTTGATAGAAACTGACATGGCAGCCATACTTTGTAGTGTCTACAACCAGGCACAGTGAGGATCACGCGATCCCCATCCTTGAAGCCTAGTAGCACCAACAGCACCCAAGCGTTTCGTGGTCTCCTTCATACTCCTCTGCCAAGTCAAGGGTTGAGCATCTCTCTGTTTACACCACTCTGAATTGGGCACGGAAAACAGCACTCTCTTCGGCAAACGATGGTTCGGCATACGCATTCACCTCATCTGTCACAATACAATCAGAACTAATACAACTTCTAATATACGTAAAACGCTCCACAACTTCCAGTACCTCTCCCTGGATTGTGAGTGGCGTGGTGACTGACTGCACGTCCACGAGCATGACCTTATGCGCACTGATAACCATCGGCATAGATTGCATGATAATGTGGAGGTTGGTAGTATGAAAAATGGTATCCACTGAATCAGCCGGAATTAATGAGGCGTATCAAACAAAGGTCAACATTCTGGGAATTGAAACGATAGAGCAGACTGTCATTCCAGCTAGTGCAGTAAAGCAAGTATTGAATGTAACAAGTGCAAGATGTTTTGTGATCAAGACTCCTCGCTTCCTGGGAATTGAAACGATAGAGCAGACTGTCATTCCAGCTAGTGCAGTAAAGCAAGTATTGAATGTAACAAGTGCAAGATGTTTTGTGATCAAGACTCCCTCGCTTCCTCACAATGATATCTTTTTACGCAATCAATTGTAATTTTTTTATGCGGATTGAACTCCAATGACTGAACTACTATTTTCGTGACTTTCTGGGTTAGAGATGGACTCACTGTTGACCACCAGCCTGCAGAGTACGTGTTTGTAAGGAAATATACAAGCTGAGGCAGATACACTGACGTTTTTTTAATTGGATGGGAATCATCTCGGGACCCATAAGAGCACTAAGGTCATCCCGGGGTTAAACACTGAATCACTCAAGAGTACAATCGAAATAGCCCTGGTTTTCCAACAACCGAGAATCCAAAGTTGATGATGAAAAGTATAGATGAGAAAAGAGCGCGAGATTTTAGGTTCACTGAAGTGTTAAACGCCGTGTAACCGGTAATCGCGTAGTGTGCGGACTTGAAAGCAACATACTGTAATATCCGGGATCCTGTGTAGTAATTCCGATCACTGTGAAGTCATCGGCTTCAATAACAACGGTTGGAGAAACGTCGGGCTATGAATCATCCGACCGTACATGTAGGCATACAGAAAGACATCGTGCTCTCTGGTCAGATCACTTTTTTCTTCACTACACGATTGGAATAATTCGAAAATAATTTCTTTCGGACCACATGAGTATAGGCACATAGAACTGAGCACTGGCAGAAAAATGCTTTCCACAACCAGCGGGTGCGATCACTGCCCTTTTGATTCGTCCATGTAAAAATCATCAATATCGTCACACAAATCATATGGCTCACCATAAGAATCCAATACTCCTTTTTGTGCCAAATCATATAGGTAACCGTTCTGTTTCGTATCCATTAAATGCTTATTCATTTCATCGGATAAAGGCACACAGGGCTGAGTGGGGTTGTATATTGGTCCGAATGACGGGAAGGAATGTGTGGGATTCTGAACGTCAGGATCCCCTTTGGTAGGACAGGAATATCGGTTGGTATCGATTTGTGATTCCGAATTGTGTGCGTCCGGATCGTTCGTGTTTTCAACACTGGTTACATTTTGCGCCAGAAGATGCTGGACACATGAGGAACCATTTGTTAGACATTTCCCTGGTCTCGTAGTTACTGTTTCAAGCCGAACAGGCTCATATGTACTGTGATCAGTTGACCCATCACGTGTACCCCGATGTTTCTGGCATGTGCTGAAAACAGTACCCATCTGGATATGCAGCCAGCTACACCTGAGCACTCATAATGTCACAGAATTCATGCACGCTCCTTCGGTCAATCGAAATCATGTGCACGAGCATATCACACAAAATCGACCGACCAATCAAGGGCGTGTGGTAGAAATTAGCATGTTTACTGGTAAGTCACGGTTAACCTATGAACCTATGGAGGCGGCTGGTCAATGGTCGGCAGACGTCGTTGCGAACTAGACAGCACAAATACAACACGCACTGGATTAGATAATCACGACCTGGAGCAGCATATGCACATGTTTTTTCAACGGCTGCCTAAATCTGTTTTACATAAATAGGGCAAAAGTGCTCGACGTGGTCCGAATAAAGCGAATAACTTGATTTCTGGAGAGAATCACCTGGAACCCAGCTGAATATCTCGGTTTTGATGTTTCCAGGCAACTGAATTCAAGTAGAACATAAGGTTGACGGAAACTCGGGGACTGCGCCTACCCGACGAGCCCCAGGAAGGGCGAAACGGTCGTGGGCTGTCGAGGAGTTTTCAGCAACCTTATGAGTAGCGCATTACAAAAGCGACAAACTCCATGAATTTTGGAAAAAAAGGCAAACGGTATTGTGATTCCCGTTGAGATGGACGGATAGCTTCATCAGATTGTTCAATGTTTTCTTGGTGGGTAGACTTGTGTGACTGATCCATTTACGTAGCCAAATGATCCGCTTTAGCCGAATGGAAGTTGAGTAAGGTGACGCAACTCAACGAGCTTGACACTGGAGGTCAAGTTGGAATAGGCGATACCGGGATCAACAGTACTTTAATTTTCCTGAACTAAGCGCTGTTGATAAATTACAGCGAATGAGAAATTGCATTTTCATCCTCCTCGGCTTCGTATGGCAAGTTGTTCTAACGACACAAGGACAGGCGCAGACTACGGACCACCAATCGTCTGTTTACATGAAAAGAAGAACGAAAGATACTTGGTAGAGTTATCCTGTCACAATACAACTACCAAACTGCCATCTTTTGTCTAAAAAGATGCCCATCTGAAGGTAACTCCTTGGCCATTAGAGTCATCCATAGGAGATATTACATCTTCTCTTTTCTGTCATGGCAGAAGTCTAACGATGGTTTACAACAATGCAGCCAACCCGACTGCTATCAAGCTTGACCACAATTTTACCGTGCAAATGAAAGTAGTTCGTCGCACTAAAATTCACACCTAGAGTTCTTGAAGGTACTCTGCCCTGATGGGCTGATGACCTGTTCTTGTGTTGCGATACCACCTTCACAATGTCAGGGTTGAACGGTTTGAGTGCACAGTATTTGGAGGCACTGCGCTGCCAGATAGTTGTGCCTTCATGTGATTGCAAGAAAAAAATAGGCATAGTGACGAGATATCGTTGACTGGTTAACTTGGCTAAGTCGCTCTGGTTTTGGTGACCTATAGCCCTGCAAATCCACACCAGGCATGACCGGATGTTTGTGAATTGCGATTGTGATAACATCGGAAACGTGGATAGATGATTAAATTTCATCCTTGATTGGACACTCACGCACAAACGATCCCAAGTTTCCTCCCACAAACATTATGAGAAGAGAAGGATGCTACAGACGACCGAGTGTCAAGTGTGCTTTGCAAGGGAAGGGCGTCGTTAGTCGACTTCATAAGCCTCAGTTCACTATACCCATAGTTGTCCCTATCAAGAGGCTCTCTGAGGAAAAGGCCATCCTCCTGGAGTGGATATGACACCTATGGACGCAGTACATTGTTCATAACGTTGCTAAAAATTCGTCGACAGCCCACGACCGGTCTCGCCCTTCTTGGTGCTCATCAGGTAGGTGCAGTCCTGGAGTTTCCGTCATTTTTATGTTCTACTTGGATCCAAATCGCTTCAAATTAGCAGAGATTCAGCTAAGTTCCAGGCGAACCTCACGTCAAAACTAGATTTGTTTGCAAATGAGTGTACTTTGCATATGACATCATTTCCGCCAGGCACCGTTCATGTGAACTCCCATCGAAAAGAGGCTATTTCAGAAGAGAGCTGACGTTTTTCCACTGGTGGCTTGTGTACAAGAAACAGTAGCTATTGCGATGGGCGAGTGTAGTGGAATGCTGGAAAGTCGGGAGAACATTAAGATCCCCAAGGTAGCAAGTGTGGAACCTGTTTTTATGTGGAGAATGAATTGCGAGAGGTCTCTGAGAACCTTAGGCTCTATTTGGACACCAACTTGTGTGCCACTGGATTATAATTAGTATAACGAGTAAACTAAGTTAGCGTTGACCAGAGAACAAACTAAAATCCCAGCTTCGTATCTCAGAAATAAAGTTCTTCAACTATACATGTTGCGGAAAGGCGGTCCAATATTTCACTTCGTATGATATGTAATATATGGCAGTATGTTTTCTCGACGGACCGTGACTTATTAGATCACAGAAAACTCTACAACAGCCCACGAAAATTTTCCGCCCTTTTGGGACTCATCATGCAGGCGCAGTCCCCGAGATTTCGTCATCTTGTGTTCTAACTTAACAGCAACTTGTACAGCTTGTTATGTCATGCAGTTCAGAATAGTTTTTATTTGTGCAGCCATGAGTATGACCACGTCATACTAGGCACCATTCTTAACGCAGTCGAAATATCGCCTTCTCAACACATCACAAACTTCGTCATTCTGATGGCGCGCAGTTCAGCAGTGAAGACCTGACCACGGTTTCCTATAGGTGAATACGTCTCATGTCTCTATGAACAAATGAGTGTCTTGTGAATACGGCTCACACCTGGTAGCAGCGAACGGCCTACTTACTTATGATCTGCTTGAAAAAACTCATATAACCATGGCTTTCTGCGCAGATGCATCTGGACCGTGCAATGAGTGAGGACGCAACAGCGGTTTTGAGAGCATGACAAATCGAAGAAGCATTTTTCTAGGCGCAACATCTATCGCGCTTGAACACAAATGTTCAGGATATCATGTAGATATGTTATGTAGATGTCCTTTAGTCGTTTAATTGCTTTTGGTGCTTGATTAATGTTTTTGTATCACACTGCTTCCAGCAAAAGCTGGACGTCAGTAGGAATTGTCCCCAATCAGGTTCACTCTACACAGCGTAAATCCGATCCGTCTTATTGATCCATGCGTTGATCAGATGGTTTGAGAGTTGTTCCGGCGAAACATATCCGTGT